TTATATAATCTCTACAGAGACGTATCACACAATGTGTTATATAATCTCTACAGAGACGTATCACACTGTGTTATATAATCTCTACAGAGACGTATCACACTGTGTTATATAATCTCTACAGAGACGTATCACACTGTGTTATATAATCTCTACAGAGACGTATCACACTGTGTTATATAATCTCTACAGAGACGTATCACACTGTGTTATATAATCTCTACAGAGACGTATCACACTGTGTTATATAATCTCTACAGAGACGTATCACACTGTGTTATATAATCTCTACAGAGACGTATCACACTGTGTTATATAATCTCTACAGAGACGTATCACACTGTGTTATATAATCTCTACAGAGACGTATCACACTGTGTTATATAATCTCTACAGAGACGTATCACACTGTGTTATATAATCTCTACAGAGACGTATCACACTGTGTTATATAATCTCTACAGAGACGTATCACACTGTGTTATATAATCTCTACAGAGACGTATCACACTGTGTTATATAATCTCTACAGAGACGTATCACACTGTGTTATATAATCTCTACAGAGACGTATCACACTGTGTTATATAATCTCTACAGAGACGTATCACACTGTGTTATATAATCTCTACAGAGACGTATCACACTGTGTTATATAATCTCTACAGAGACGTATCACACTGTGTTATATAATCTCTACAGAGACGTATCACACTGTGTTATATAATCTCTACAGAGACGTATCACACTGTGTTATATAATCTCTACAGAGACGTATCACACTGTGTTATATAATCTCTACAGAGACGTATCACACTGTGTTATATAATCTCTACAGAGACGTATCACACTGTGTTATATAATCTCTACAGAGACGTATCACACTGTGTTATATAATCTCTACAGAGACGTATCACACTGTGTTATATAATCTCTACAGAGACGTATCACACTGTGTTATATAATCTCTACAGAGACGTATCACACTGTGTTATATAATCTCTACAGAGACGTATCACACTGTGTTATATAATCTCTACAGAGACGTATCACACTGTGTTATATAATCTCTACAGAGACGTATCACACTGTGTTATATAATCTCTACAGAGACGTATCACACTGTGTTATATAATCTCTACAGAGACGTATCACACTGTGTTATATAATCTCTACAGAGACGTATCACACTGTGTTATATAATCTCTACAGTATCACACTGTGTTATATAATCTCTACAGAGACGTATCACACTGTGTTATATAATCTCTACAGAGACGTATCACACTGTGTTATATAATCTCTACAGAGACGTATCACACTGTGTTATATAATCTCTACAGAGACGTATCACACTGTGTTATATAATCTCTACAGAGACGTATCACACTGTGTTATATAATCTCTACAGAGACGTATCACACTGTGTTATATAATCTCAACGGAGACGTATCACACTGTGTGTTATATAATCTCTACAGAGACGTATCACGCTGTGTTATATAATCTCTACAGAGACGTATCACACTGTGTTATATAATCTCCACAGAGACGTATCACACTGTGTGTTATATAATCTCTACAGAGACGTATCACACTGTGTTATATAATCTCTACAGAGACGTATCACACTGTGTTATATAATCTCTACAGAGACGTATCACGCTGTGTTATATAATCTACACAGAGACGTATCACACTGTGTTATATAATCTCTACAGAGACGTATCACACTGTGTTATATAATCTCTACAGAGACGTATCACGCTGTGTTATATAATCTACACAGAGACGTATCACACTGTGTTATATAATATCTACAGAGACGTATCACACTGTGTTATATAATCTCTACAGAGACGTATCACACAATGTGTTATATAATCTCGTAGACAACTGTATAATAATAAAACAGAGACATCACACTGTGTTATATAATCTCTACACAGAACGTATCACACTGTGTGTATATAATCTCTACAGAGAACTGTATCACACAATGTGTAATATAACCTACAGACAGAACATCACACTGCTATATAATCTACAACTGTATACACTGTGTTATATAACCTACACAGAACATCACACTGTGTTATATAATCTCTACAGAGACGTATCACACTGTGTTATATAATCTCTACAGAGACATATCGTCTACAACTGTATAACGGTATATAATCCTACACAGAACATCACCCTGTGTTATAACTGTATAATGTGTAATATAATCTCTACAGAGACATCACACTGTGTCTCTACAAGACGTATCACACGGTAATATAATCTACTACAGAACATCACCCTCGTCTACAACTGTATAATGTGTAATATAATCTACACAGAACATCACCTCGTCCTACAAGACTGTATCACACTGTGTAATATATATCTCACAGAACATCACACTGTGTTATATAATCTCTCAGACTGTATAACTGTGTAATATAATCCTACACAGAACATCACCTCGTTATATAATCCTACAACTGTATAACGGTAATATAACCTACACAGAACATCATCCTCGTCCACAACTGTATAACGGTAATATACCCTACACAGAACATCACTCTCGTCTACAACTGTATAACGGTAATATAACCTACACAGAACATCACCCTCGTCTACAACTGTATAATCCTCACTACACAGAACATAACCCTCATCACAACTATCCTACACAGAACATATAACAACTGTATAACGTAATATAACCTACATTACACAGAACATGTATAACGGTACTCTCAGTCATACCCTCAACTGTATAACGGTAATATATACCTACATTACACAGAACATCACCCTCACCTACAACTGTATAACGGTAATATCTACAAGAACATACCCTCGTTTACAACTGTATAACGTAATATAACCTACATTTACACAGAACATCACCCTCATAATAATATAACCTACAACTGTATAATGGTAATATAATCTACACAGAACATCACCCTCGTCTACAACTGTATAATGGTAATATAATCTACACAGAACATCACCCTCGTGTACAACTGTATAATGGTAATATAATCTACACAGAACATCACCCTCGTGTACAACTGTATAACGGTAATATAACCTACACAGAACATCACCCTCGTCTACAACTGTATAACGGTAATATATCCTACACAGAACATCACCCTCGTCTACAACTGTATAACGGTAATATATCCTACACAGAACATCACCCTGTATAATGGTATATACCTACACAACTGTATCACAACTGTATAATATAATATAACCTACACAGAACATCCTCGTCCACAACTGTAACGGTAATATAACATACACAGAACCTCGTATAACGGTATATAATCTACAACTGTATAACGGCAATATAAGCTACATTGACACAGAACATCACTCTCGACTATAACTGTATAACGGTAATATAACCTACATTGACACAGAACATCACCCTCGTTTACAACTGTATAACGAACATCACCCTCACCTACAACTGTATAACGGTAATATAACTTACACAGAACATCACCCTCGTCTACAACTGTATAACGGTAATATATCCTACACAGAACATCACCCTCGTTTACAACTGTATAACGGTAATAATCTAACCTACATTGATAATGGTAATCACAGAACATTCACCCTGTATCTACAGTAGACTGTATAACAGAACATAATATAACCTACACAAAACTTCACCCTCGTCTACAACTGTATAACAATGATATAGCATACATTGATACAGAACATCACTCTCGTGTAAAACTGCATAACGGTAATATAACCTACATTGACACAGAACATCACCCTCGTTTATATAACGGTAATTGACACAGAACATCACCCTCGTTTACAACTGTATAACGGTAATTTAACCTACACAGAACATCACTCTCACCTACAACCGTATAACGGTAATATAACCTACATTGACACAGAACTTCACCCTCGTCTACAACTGTATAACGGTAATATAACCTACACAAAACATCACGGTAATATAACCTACACAGAACATCACCCTCGTGTACAACTGTATAATGGTAATATAATCTACACAGAACATCACCCTCTTGTACAACTGTATAACGGTAATATAACCTACACAGAACATCACTCTCACCTACAACCGTATAACGGTAATATAACCTACGTTGACACAGAACATCACACTCACCTACAACTGTATAATGGTAATATTACATAGACAGAGAACATCACCCTCGTCTACAAATGTATAACGTTAATATAACCTACATTGACACAGTATATCACCCTCACCTACAACTGTATAACGGTAATATAAACTACACAGAACATCACCCTCGTCTACAACTGTATAACGGTAATATAACCTACACAGAACATCACCCTCGTCTACAACTATATAATGGTAATATTACACAGACGGAGAACATCACCCTCACCTACAACTGTATAACGGTAATATAACCTACACAGAACATCACCCTCACCTACAACTATATAATGGTAATATTACACAGACGGAGAACATCACCCTCGTCTACAACTGTATAACGGTAGTATAACCTATATTTTACAGGGAATATCTCCCAAACCTTCAACTGTTTAACGGTGATATAATGGTGATATAATGGTGATATAACGATGATATAACCTATATTTTGCAGGGAATATCTCCCAAACCTACGACGGTATAACGGTGATATAACGGTAGTATAACCTATATTTTACAGGGAATATCTCCCAAACCTTCGACTGTTTAACGGTGATATAATGGTGATATAACGGTGATATAACGGTGATATAAACTATATTTTACAGGGAATATCTCCCAAACCTACGACTGTATAAAGGTTATGTAATTGTGATATAACGGTAGTATTACCTATATTTTACAGGGAATATCTCCCAAACCTTCGACTGTTTAACGGTGATATAATGGTGATATAACGGTGATAAAACGGTGATATAATGGTGATATAACTTTGATATAATGGTGATATAACGGTGATATAAACTATATTTTACAGGGAATATCTCCCAAACCTACGACTGTATCGCCTTGGAATACACCATCGATCTACATCGAACCCGCCAAGATGATCAACCAATCTCTACTTCCATTGCAGGTATTTGAAGTTTTTGTTACAATTTTTTTCTGTCGTATTTTTGAAATGTTTATTTATTTATTTTGAAATTGGTATTTAGAAATTGAAAATCCGATATTAAGGTGTGATACAATAATAGAATGAGTATCCACACAAAAGAGAAGAGGGTACTGCTTAATAAACACGCGGGTTCCACGACACACCATAAATAGGAGAGTGTGTTTTTGAATGTTAATTGGTTTCACAAAAACACAAAAGAAAAAAAGGTGCTGCGATTTAAATGAATGGGTTACACGGAACACGATGGAAAGGAGAGTGCTGCCTCTTAAATTAATGGGTTTCACGACACACTATAAACAGGAGAGTGTTGCTTGTAAAATTAACGGGTCATAAGAGACAGTAGAAATGAGACTGCTGCCTGTTGAATCAATGGATTTCACGACACAGCTTATAAAGGAAAGAAAGTGTTCCTTGTTCAATTAATGATTGTACAGCACACCGTAGAGAGGAGAGCGTGGCTTGTTAAATTAATTTGTAGCACCACACAGCTTAGGTAGGAGAGTGTCGTTTGAGCTAATAGGTTACAGAACCACCATAGAATGGTGAGTACTGTCTGTTAAATTAATTGGTTTCACGACACACAATAGAAAGGAGGGCAATTTATTATTATGAATCTGGCACACTATAGATGTGAGAGTATGTATTATTTATTTAATTGATTACACGACACATTAAAGATGGGAGAGTGTGACTGGTTAAGTTAATGGATTACACGTCACACTAAAGATAGGAGAGTGTGACTGGTAATGTTAATGGATTACACGACACACTAAAGATAGGAGAGTGTGACTGGTAATGTTAATGGATTACACGACAGAATAAAGATAGGAGAGTGTGACTGGTTAAGTTAATGGATTACACGACACACTAAAGATAGGAGAGTGTGACTAGTTCAGTTAATGGATTACACAACACACTAAAGACAGGAGAGTGTGACTGTTAATGTTAATGGATTACACGACACATTAAAGATGGGAGAGTGTGACTGGTAATGTTAATGGATTACACGACAGAATAAAGATGGGAGAGTGTGACTAGTTCAGTTAATGGATTACACGTCACACTAAAGATAGGAGAGTGTGACTGGTTAAGTTAATGGATTACACGACAGAATAAAGATAGGAGAGTGTGACTAGTTCAGTTAATGGATTACACGTCACACTAAAGAAAGGAGAGTGTGACTGGTTAAGTTAATGGATTACACGTCACACTAAAGATAGTAGAGTGTGACTAGTTCAGTTAATGGATTACACGTCACACTAAAGAAAGGAGAGTGTGACTGGTTAAGTTAATGGATTACACGACAGAATAAAGGTGGGAGAGTGTGACTAGATCAGTTAATGGATTACACGTCACACTAAAGATAGGAGAGTGTGAATGGTTAAGTTAATGGATTACACGTCACACTAAAGATAGGAGAGTGTGACTGGTAATGTTAATGGATTACTCGACAGAATAAAGATAGGAGAGTGTGACTGGTGATGTTAATGAATTACACGACAGAATAAAGATAGGAGAGGGTGACTGGTAATGTTGATGGATTACACGTCACACTAAAGACAGAATATTGTGAATGGTTAAGTTAATGGATTACACGTCACACTAAAGATAGGAGAGTGCGACCGGTAAATGTAATGGATTACACGACAGAATAAAGATAGGAGAGTGTGACTGGTAATGTTAATGGATTACACGACAGAATAAAGATAGGAGAGGGTGACTGGTAATGTTAATGGATTACACGTCACACTAAAGACAGAATATTGTGAATGGTTAAGTTAATGGATTACACGACACATTAAAGACAGGAGAGTGCGACCGGTAAATGTAATGGATTACACGACAGAATAAAGATAGGAGAGTGTGACTGGTAATTTTAATGGATTACACGACAGAATAAAGATAGGAGAGTGTGACTGGTAATGTTAATTGATTACACGTCACACTAAAGATAGGATATTGTGACTGGTAATGTTAATTGATTACACGTCACACTAAAGACAGAATATTGTGACTAGTTAAGTTAATGGATTACACGACACACTAAAGATAGGAGAGTGTGACTGGTTCAGTTAATGGATTACACGACACACTAAAGATAGGAGAGTGTGACTGGTAATGTTAATGGATTACACGACAGAATAAAGATGGGAGAGTTTGACTGGTAATGTTAATGGATTACACGACACACTAAAGATAGGAGAGTGTGACTGGTAATGTTAATGGATTACACGTCACACTAAAGATAGGAGAGTGTGACTGGTAATGTTAATGGATTACACGACAGAATAAAGATGGGAGAGTTTGACTGGTAATGTTAATGGATTACACGACAGAATAAAGATGGGAGAGTTTGACTGGTAATGTTAATGGATTACACGACACACTAAAGACAGGATATTGTGACTGGTTAAGTTAATGGATTACACGACACACTTAAGATAGAAGTAGGAATGTGACCGGTTACTTATGATACTTGTGAGAGGTGATTATCGTCTAATTAGTTATTTCGTTTCTTCACTTTCTTCACGTCTAAATCATTTCATCACTTGTTTTGGTCACTGTTTCTTTGAGTCATTTTTCTAGGTTCAATAACATTTCATTATAACATGTAGATAATATAGGACATCAATTGTATTCTGAAATAAGATCAACAAATGTCAATTACACAAAAAAATCTCCTTACTACTCAGTAACTGTCGACGGTGCATTTGTATCGCACCTCATAACATTTAGAGTCGTTTCTGGAGGATATTTTATAGGATACTATATATATATATACTAAAATAGATATACTAGATGTGAGCCCGGGAGTTAACTGAGGGAGACGTGGTAACCCGATGTGTTGACTGAGGGAGGCGTGGAGTCCCGATGTGTTGACTGAGGGAAACGTGGAGTCCCGAGGCGTTAACTGCGGGAAACGTGGAGTCCCGAGGTATTGACTGCGGGGGACGTGGAGTCCCGAGGTGTTGACTGCGGGAGACGTGGAGTCCCGAAGTGTTCACTGCGGAAAACGTGGAGACCCGAGGTGTTGACTGCGGGAGCCGTGGATTCCCGGGGTGTTGACTGCAGGAGACGCGGACTCCCAAGGTGTTGACTGTGGGAGACGCGGTGTCCCGGGGTGTTGACTGAGGGAGACGTGGAGTCCCGAGGTTTCGACTGCGAGGGACGTGGTGTCCCGAGAAGTTGACTGCTGGAGACGTGGATTCCCGGGGTGTTGACTGAGGGAGACGCGGACTCCCAAGGTGTTGACTGCGGAAAACGTGAAGACCCGAGGTGTTGACTGCGGGAGCCGTGGATTCCCGGGGTGTTGACTGAGGGAGACGCGGACTCCCAAGGTGTTGACTGTGGGAGACGCGGTGTCCCGGGGTGTTGACTGAGGGAGACGTGGTGTCCCGAGGTGTCGACTGCGGGGGACGTGGAGTCCCGAGAAGTTGACTGCTGGAGACGTGGAGACCCGAGGTGTTGACTGCGGGAGACGTGGAGTCCCGAAGTGTTCACTACGGAAAACGTGGAGACCCGAGGTGTTGACTGCGGGAGCCGTGGATTCCCGGGGTGTTGACTGAGGGAGACGCGGACTCCCAAGGTGTTGACTGTGGGAGACGCGGTGTCCCGGGGTGTTGACTGAGGGAGACGTGGAGTCCCGTCCCGAGGTGTTGACTGCGGGGGGCGTGGAGTCTCGAGATGTTGACTGAGGGAGACGTGGAGTCCCGAGGTGTTGACTGCGGGAGCCGTGGAGTCCCGGGGTGTTGACTGCAGGAGACGTGGACTCCCGAGGTGTTGACTGAGGGAGACGTGGATTCCCAAGTTGTTGGCTGAGGGAGACGTGGAGTTCCGAGGTGTTTACTGAGGGAGACATGGAGTCCCGTCCCGAGGTGTTGACTGCGGGAGTTGTGGACTCCCGGGGTGTTGACTGCAGGAGACGTGGACTCCCGAGGTGTTGACTGAGGGAGACGTGGATTCCCAAGTTGTTGACTGAGGGAGACGTGGAGTCCCAAGGTGTTGACTGCCTGAACATGATGACAAATGATGCCAAATGGGGCAAATATTTGGACCAAGTGATGACAAACTAGGGCAAATGAAGACAATCGAGGACAAAACTAATAGAAAACGTGGTCCAGCATCAACATTATATACGATTTTGACCAAGTGATGACAAACTAGGGCAAATGAAGACAATCGAGGACAAAACTAATAGAAAACGTGGTCCAGCATCAACATTATATACGATTTTGACCAAGTGATGACAAACTAGGGCAAATGAAGACAATCGAGGACAAAACTAATAGAAAACGTGGTCCAGCATCAACATTATATACGATTTTGACCAAGTGATGACAAACTAGGGCAAATGAAGACAATCGAGGACAAAACTAATAGAAAGCGTGGTCCAGCATCAACATTATATACGATTTTGACCAAGTGATGACAAACTAGGGCAAATGAAGACAATCGAGGACAAAACTAATAGAAAACGTGGTCCAGCATCAACATTATTTACGGTTTGTTTTTTGAAAAATAAGAGTCGTAAGAAAATATCTGTATCGAAATAAACTCTTTTAAAACAAAACATTAAAAATAGCCGCCCTCTTTAAAAATCGAAGATTAGAGATATATGTAGCCCCCTCCCCTTTCAAGAAACTCCCTAACAACTCTTCACCATGACTACCAGTCCACGTATAGGGCCCTAACAACTCCTCACCATGACTACCAGTCCACGTATAGGGCCTCATGTAACACATGTGAAAGTTGTCTGTTGTCTCCGCAGAAATAAAAGCGTATGTATAAGTAACATATAAATTTGATATCAGATACACTCACGTGGTCTACCATCATTGTCTTGTTTCAGAAGCTCAGATGGGTGCCACACCTTTCTTTGTTACCAGTTTAGTGCTAGCCTTGTGCTCCGGTGTGTTTAGTGTGTTGGGCACCCTGCAGCGCAATGTCAAGGCCATTATCTCCGCTGTGCTCTCCATACTTCAAGGTCAGTAACAAAACTAGTGGTCAAGGTCAGTAAGAAGACACGTAGTCGAAGTCAGTCATAAAACTCGCAGAAAGGTCCGTAACAAACATATGGTCAAGGTAAGAAACAAAACACGTGGTCAAGGTAAGAAACAAAACACGTGGTCAAGGTCTAAATGAGAGTCGCGGAGAGGGTCAGTAACTATGTCAGTACCAAAACACGCGGACAAGATCAGTAACAAAACACGCAGACAGTATCAGTTATAAAACACGTGGTCAAGATCAGTAACAAAACACGCAGAGAGTATCAGTTATAAAACACGTGGTCAAGGTCGTTGCAAAACACGTGGTCAAGGTCAGTAACAAAACACGTGGACAAGGTCAGTAACAAAACACGTGGACAAGGTCAGTAACAAAACACGTGGTAAAGATCAGTAACAAAACACGTGGTCAAGGTCAGTAACAAAACACGTGGTCAGGGCCAGTAACAAAACACATGGTCAAGGTGAGTAACAAAACACGCGGACAATATCAGAAACAAACACATGCTTACCCCATATAAATGAATATTATGCTGTGCCACAATGCAGCTTTCATCATTTATTCTATTGTCTGCTGTTCGACGCTATTAATAACTTTTTGCAATAACCATTAGGGAACACATGGAACCAAACCATTTTTATTCACCACGACCATTGACAAATGCACGTTATAAATAATGCAGGATTTTAATTTTCCTCTGTATGCATCACCATATTTAAAAATGGGTTTCCTCGCACATCCTAAAGGGTCTGCTGTGTTACTTGTGTGATGCAGAGAATTCTAACACATACGTGTAACATGGACGAACTACGTGTATATTGAGTTCCTAATATTTTGGCGTCGTTCGTCTACGTGTAGTGTAATTATCTATACTACCAATAGTATATATAGGCTCCGACATACATATAGGCGACGCTAGCGTAGAGAAGTCGTATTTGAACACCAAACCAGCTGAATGCGTTATTTTTTCATTAACGACTCATTTGGTCCTCCATATTTGTCTGAGTCGCGTTTTCAGGAAACAAATTAAGAATTAAATAATTTACGGCGAATAACCAAGATTGATTTTGCACAAGCTAAAAACAAGCATGCACAGCTATTCTATGTGTTTTATAAAGCAGTAAAGAATACTTGTCTCCGTTTCATGACAGACCTAAATTGTCATTGTCGTTTATATTATTTTCATTTTTATTGATAACTCTCAGCCACGGGTACATTTCTCCGTCAAATGTCAATTTCCAAGAGGCCCATATTAAAATTTGTCATTTCACAGATCGCCTAATACTTTGTAGCAAAACTTGGCTTCTACGCCAGACATTGACTTAAACCTTTCCTTGCCAGATAATAGCCTACACCGTGCTTTAAGGATCTCCACCTCTACACCTGATACTGTCTGTGTAAGATATGCGGGATACGGTGTGTTTTGTGTGTAGATACTCAGAATCGTTTGCCTTGCAGTAAATGTAATTATTATCTTAATCAATGGCACAGAATTCGGAATAAACCGTTTCCTGTATGTATCTACACCAGCCAAGACTTTCTAACACACTTTACGTAAGTTGCCTTAACTGTGTACGCTAACTCACTTCTCGTCAAAACCTCCACAAATCGCAAAAAGCGACGCACATGTTAAGACAATATCCATACGTATTATCTAAAACTTTAGCCCTTTTTTATCTCCTGCATATATCTACTCCCTCCAGTGCGTCTACATCAACTCACACTATACATGTATCAGTTTATTTACTTAACGAGTCTTACGCGCACTACTTGAGGCGGACAAGACAGAATCTGCATTTTGATACCCTACCAGAAACAGGAAACTAAGCCTTATTAATAAAATAGTTCACCAAAGACTTCATCGTTGCCTTGCCAGAAAGTGACCTAGACTTATTTCTAGGAATCTACATTTCTTCATGTGATTTTGACTTGGCTTCTCTTGTGCCAGAAAGTGACATCTGATTTTGACTTGGCTTCTCTGGTGCCAGATAGTGACCAAAACTTTTTTCTATGAATCTACATTTCTACATCTAAATTTGACTTGGCTTCTCTGGTGCCAGATAGTGACCTAGACTTTTTTCTATGAATCTACATTTCTACATCTGATTTTGACTTGGCCTGTCTGGTGCCAGACAGTGACCTAGACTTATTTCTATGAATCTACATTTCTACATCTAATTTTGACTTGGCTTCTCTGGTGCCAGATAGTGACCTAGACTTTTTACTATGAATCTACATTTCTACATCTGATTTTGACTTGGCCTGTCTGGTGCCAGAAAGTGACCTAGACTTATTTCTATTAATCTACATTTCTTCATGTGATTTTGACTTGGCTTCTCTGGTGCCAGAAAGTGACATCTGATTTTGACTTGGCCTGTCTGGTACCAGACAGTGACCTAGACTCATTTCTATGAATCTACATTTCTACATCTGATTTTGACTTGGCCTGTCTGGTGCCAGAAAGTGACCTAGACTTATTTCTATTAATCTACATTTCTTCATGTGATTTTGACTTGGCTTCTCTTGTGCCAGAAAGTGACATCTGATTTTGACTTGGCTTCTCTGGTGCCAGATAGTGACCAAAACTTTTTTATATGAATCTACATTTCTACATCTAAATTTGACTTGGCTTCTCTGGTGCCAGATAGTGACCTAGACTTTTTTTCTATGAATCTACATTTCTACATCTGATTTTGACTTGGCCTGTCTGGTGCCAGACACTGACCTAGACTTATTTCTATGAATCTACATTTCTACATCTAATTTTGACTTGGCTTCTCTGGTGCCAGATAGTGACCTAGACTTTTTTCTATGAATCTACATTTCTACATCTGATTTTGACTTGGCCTGTCTGGTGCCAGAAAGTGACCTAGACTTATTTCTATTAATCTACATTTCTTCATGTGATTTTGACTTGGCTTCTCTGGTGCCAGAAAGTGACATCTGATTTTGACTTGGCCTGTCTGGTGCCAGACAGTGACCTAGACTCATTTCTATGAATCTACATTTCTACGTCTGATTTTGACTTGGCTTGTCTGGTGCCAGACAGTGGCCTAGACTTATTTCTACGAATCTACATTTCTACATCTGATTTTGACCTGTCCTTTTGTCATGCCATGACCTTGACCATGTCAGCTGTGATGAAAAATTTCTTTGATCACATGGTGTAATTTGGTTACAGGTCTGTGTATGGCAGTGGGTATCATATTGTACATCACATTCATTAACGATGAGGCTTCCCACGCCAAACCTGACGGCGGACATTTTCAGTACCAGTACAGCTGGTCCATTATCTTGGTAGGACTAGCCTTTCTCGCCTCACAGTCCACTGCTATCGTGTGCGTCACGCTCTACCTCAAGCGTAACGCGAAGAAGGAGGATATGGTGAAAATTATCCCTGGCTTGGAAGACAAGGTCAAGGACGAACCAGAAAACGTGGGCGTAACCAATTACTCCACCCCTATCTTCTAATGGGGAACATAGGTATGTTTATGCAAAGGTCAAGGACAAATTAGAAAATGACTAATCTCACCCTATCTAGTAATGTACATTTTTAGGTAGGTTTACGATAAGGTCAAGGACAAATCAGAAAGCATAAACGTGAACCAGTATTCTAAATGTGAAACATAAGTAGGTTCATGGTTAGATAAAGAACGAATTAGAAAACGTTGGTGACGCCATTTTCTCAACCTCTAATGGGAACTTAGGCAGGTTGATAACAAGGTCAAGGACGAATCAGAAAGCACATGCATGACATCTGTTCGGCTTCTTATATGAAGATTTTGTGTCGATATTTGGAACACATTTTATTTTTAATACATTGTAATAATATAATGCAATATTTGTATTCAATATTTTGCTGTCATTAATTTCAGGTATCGTTGGAGCACGAAATCTCCGATCGCCTATGGTAACCAGGTGCCGGAGAGGGTCACTAAGTCTCCGGTCAGACATTTACACCATTCGCTGACCATCTCTAGTTGCAACGGACTCTGCTGAGCAGGATCTAATTTTCATCAAGTACACAAGTTTTCGTGAACAAATACTAATCCTGGCTTTCCATATGTCGGAAGCCATACGCTACTGGTGATTATCTGGGCTCGCCGTGAACAGCCCAGTCACTGCTCACTAGATATTACTTCTGTATGGTTACCGAGTCTGGTGGTAAACTCACTGACATTGGTAACCCGAGAACAACAATCTACGTCTTCCTTTCTCGGACAGCTTTCACTAAGGTGACACGAGTCACGAGACTGTGTTCCAGTAAATACTGCTGACTATCCGACCAATCACATGTGGCCTGTCGGTGTGTGTTTTTATACGAGTTGTCTCCCTTGTGCAGCTTTTGCGTGTATTTTGTACGGAATATTAATTTTTGACACCTCTAGCTTGTTCAATATTTCAGGCAATTGTGATTAACTTCCGCATAGTAAACGAGATAGATAGGAGGAAATCATCTTAAAATATTGACAGAAATTCGTATGTACACGTTGTGTTTATCTATGGAAAATTCGGAAAAGCTAAGCCTATCCTTGGGAAGAGCCATACCGTTCAGTAACTGGTCTTTGTCGTCTGGCTCCCTGTCACGTGATGTCATTTCTTTTTGGGAATTGATTATTACTTCACATGCAGCTTTGCTTTGATTTTAAGTATTTTGTAAATAATTGCACGTTGTAATGGAAATTTGCCAGATTTATAGTTGCATAACCAGCATCGTTATCAATATTTCCGAATTCCCTAATACGAATGAAAAGAACTAATCAAAGTTGGTGTGTGTTTTCAATCAGACTAGATATGACGACAGATGGGGTTAGAAATAACTTATGTCGCCCTCTACAACGTGATGAACGCTTTCGTGAACTATCCCATAACTTACTATACACGTAAATCGACCGAAAGGTAGCGCTATATCTGCGAGACCTGTCTGTAAGAACTGGTAGGTGTGGGATATGTCCCGGAGGCCTGTTTATATTTCAGGCGTAGGTGCGATATATCTACTGATATTGCAAATCGCTATTCTCGTGACTTTTCTAATTTACAAGTATGGGTGGGACATATTCCTGGGATTTGTATATATTTATAAGGATGGGTGGGGCATATCCACGGGACTTGTCTATACCTAAGGGTATGGGTGGGACATATCCACGGGACTTGTCCATACCTAAGGGTATGGGAGGGACATATCCACGGGACTTGTCTATATCTATGGGTATGTGTGGGACATATCCACGGGACTTGTCTATACCTATCAGTATGGGTGGGACATATCCCCGGGACTTGTCTATACATATGGGTATGTGTGGGACATATCCACGGGACTTGTCTATACCTATCAGTATGGGTGGGACATATCCACGAGACTTGTCTATACATATGGGTATGTGTGGGACATATCCACGGGACTTTTGTATATCTATGAGTATGGGTGGGACATATCCACGAGACTTGTCTATACCTATGGGTATGTGTGGGACATATCCACGAGACTTGTCTATACCTATCAGGATGGGTGGGACATATCCACGGGACTTGTCTATACATTTCAGGATGGGTGGGACATATCCACGGGACTTGTCTATACCTATGGGTATGTGTGGGACATATCCACGGGACTTTTGTATATCTATGGGTATGTGTGGGACATATCCACGGGACTTGTCTTTACCTATCAGTATGGGTGGGACATATCCACGGGACTTCTGTATACATATGGGTATGTGTGGGACACATCCACGGGACTTGTCTATACATATGGGTATGTGTGGGACACATCCACGGGACTTGTCTATACCTATATCAGTGTGGGTGGGATACATCCACGGGACTTGTCTATACATATGGGTATGTGTGGGACATATCAATGGGACTTGTCTATACCTATGGGTATGTGTGGGACATATCCACGGGGACTTCTCTATACCTATGGGTATGTGTGGGACATATCCACGGGACTTGTCTATACATATGGGTATGTGTGGGACATATCCACGGGACTTGTCTATACCTATCAGTATGTGTGGGACATATCCCCTGGACTTCTGTATACCTATGGGTATGTGTGGGACATATCCACGGGACTTGTCTATACATATGGGTATGTGTGGGACATATCCACGGGACTTCTGGGGTATGTGTGGGACTTGTCTATACATATGGGTATGTGTGGGACATATCCATGGGACTTGTCTATACCTATTGGTATGTGTGGGACATATCCCGGGGACTTTTGTATACCCATGGGTATGTGTGGGACATATTCACGAGACTTGTCTATACCTATCAGTATGGGTGGGACATATCCACGGGACTTGTCTATACCTATATCAGTATGTGTGGGACATATCCCCGGGACTTGTCTATACCTATGGGTATGTGTGGGACATATCCCCGGGACTTGTCTATACCTATGGGTATGTGTGGGACATATCCCCGGGACTTGTCTATACCTATGGGTATGTGTGGGACATATCCCCGGGACTTGTCTATACCTATGGGTATGTGTGGGACATATCCCCGGGACTTCTGTATACCTATGGGTATGTGTGGGACATATCCACGGGACTTCTGTATACCTATGGGTATGTGTGGGACATATCCCCGGGACTTCTGTATACCTTTGGGTATGTGTGGGACATATCCACGGGACTTCTGTATACCTATGGGTACGTGTGGGACAAATCCACGGGACTTGTCTATACCTATATCAGTATGTGTGGGACATATCCCCGGGACTTCTGTATACCTATGGGTATGTGTGGGACATATCCACGGGACTTCTGTATACCTATGGGTATGTGTGGGACATATCCCCGGGACTTCTGTATACCTATGGGTATGTGTGGGACATATCCACGGGACTTGTCTATACCTATATCAGTATGGGTGGGACATATCCCCGGGACTTGTCTATACCTATGGGTATGTGTGGGACATATCCATGGGACTTGTCTATACCTATGGGTATGTGTGGGACATATCCCCGGGACTTCTCTATACCTATGGGTATGTGTGGGACACAATGTATCTCCAAACTTGGCTATATTCTGTATACCTATGGGTATGTGTGGGACATATCCACACCTATGGGTATGTGTGGGACATATCCCCGGGACTTCTGTATACCTTTGGGTATGTGTGGGACATATCCACGGGACTTCTGTATACCTATGGGTATGTGTGGGACATATCCACGGGCGACATGATCATATTTACCAGTAATTTTTCAACATACACAATGTATCTCCAAACTTGGCTATATTTTCTGGTACGGTAAGTTACATCCTCAGATGATATATACATTGTACATGTTTACTTACCAGTTTACATGTGCCTTGCCACTCGATGGTTACTACCCCGAGTTGTCGTTCTTTATCCTCAAAATGTATGTCGTGTAGTCGTAGCCTAAACAGGGTTTTTAACGACCTAACTCTAAAGGTCTTATTATACAGAGTGCGTGCAGAAAAATCAAGGATCAAATTCTTGACATTATTTCAAGTGACTTCTTAGAAGTATCTACCGTATTTCGAATAGTTTTATTTCACTTATGGTTTGGCGAGAGATGGGTATTTATAAAATATATTAACCTAGTTTCGAGGGAATGTGATTTAAAATGATGAAATATTAAGACCTTTTCTGTTGTTGTAATTCACATGACTTAACCTAATGGTGTAATTAACAGTCTGGAGTTGTGTAATTAGTTGTCAATCTGACCAAATAAAGAATGCTTATTATGTTCATATAAAATACTAAAATAATTTGTAAGTTGAAGAAATGCTTGCTATGAGATTGCTGGTCGATATACCATCCGTAAGGTTTAGTATATTAACATTAAACCAACCAGCAGATGAACCGTTCAACAGTACAAAGATCTGCGTATTTGCGCTAAAACTCTGGATGCGATGGACGAGTGTGTTTGTATTTCAGTCGCTATAATATTGATTTCAGGTGTAATCAAATGACGGGTTGTACTATGTCCAACTGTGGCCTTTCTGTTAACGGGCATACTAACTCTCAATTTTCGGATTGTACATTATGTATTTAATTAAAAAATGAAAGCAATTGTCTGTTGTTTTTACTGTTACTTGTTACTGTTACATGTCACTGTGACTGGCCCGCGTTACTACACAATGGTTACTGTGACTGGCCCTCGTGACTTTACATCGGTTACTGTGATAGGTCCTCGTAAATAAACACCCGTAAGTGTGCCTGGACCACGTGTCTAAACACAGCTTACTAAGAATGACCCTTGTGGCTATACATGTGTTACTGAAATTGGAACATGTGACTATACACACGTTACTGTGACTGGCCCTCGTGACTATACACAGGTTACTGTGACTGACCATCGTGACTATACACAGGTTACTGTGACTGACCATCGTGACTATACACAGGTTACTGTGACTGGCCCTCGTGACTATACACAGGTTACTGTGACTGAACATCGTGACTATACACAGGTTACTGTGACTGGTCCTCATGACTACACACAGGTTACTGTGACTAGCCCTCGTGACTACACACAGGTTACTTTGACTGGCCCTCGTGACTATACACAGGTTACTGTAACTGACCATCGTGACTATACACAGGTAACTGGGATTGGCCCGCGTGACTATACACAGGTTACTGTGACTGGCCCTCGTGATTACACACAGGTTGCTGTGACTGGTCCTCATGACTACACACAAGTTACTGTGACTGGTCCTCGTGAATATACACAAGTTACTGTGACTGGCCCGCGTGACTATACACAGGTTGCTGTGACTGACCCTCGTGACTATACACAGGTTACTGTGACTGATCCTCGTGACTACACATTGGTTACTATGACAGGCCCTCGTGACTATACACATGTTACTGTGACTGACCCTCGTGACTATACACAGGTTACTGTGACTGGCCCTCGTGATTACACACAGGTTGCTGTGACTGGTCCTCATGACTACACACAAGTTACTGTGACTGGTCCTCGTGAATATACACAAGTTACTGTGACTGGCCCGCGTGACTATACACAGGTTGCTGTGACTGACCCTCGTGACTATACACAGGTTACTGTGACTGATCCTCGTGACTACACATTGGTTACTATGACAGGCCCTCGTGACTATACACATGTTACTGTGACTGACCCTCGTGACTATATACAGGTTACTGTGACTGGCTCTCGTGACTACACACAGGTTACTGTGACTGGTCCTCATGACTACACACAGGTTGCTGTGACTGGTCCTCATGACTACACACAAGTTACTGTGACTGGCCCTCGTGAATATACACAGCTTACTGTGACTGGCCCGCGTGACTATACACAGGTTGCTGTGACTGGCCCTCGTGACTATACACAGGTTACTTTGACTGGCCCTCGTGACTATACACAGGTAACTGGGATTGGCCCGCGTGACTATACACATGTTACTGTGACAAACCCTCGTGACTATACACAGGTTACTGTGACTGGCCCTCGTGATTACACACAGGTTGCTGTGACTGGTCCTCATGACTACACACAAGTTACTGTGACTGGCCCTCGTGAATATACACAGCTTACTGTAACTGGCCCGCGTGACTATACACAGGTTGCTGTGACTGGCCCTCGTGACTATACACAGGTTACTGTAACTGACCATCGTGACTATACACAGGTAACTGGGATTGGCCCGCGTGACTATACACAGGTTACTGTGACTGGCCCTCGTGATTACACACAGGTTGCTGTGACTGGTCCTCATGACTACACACAAGTTACTGTGACTGGTCCTCGTGAATATACACAAGTTACTGTGACTGGCCCGCGTGACTATACACAGGTTGCTGTGACTGACCCTCGTGACTATACACAGGTTACTGTGACTGATCCTCGTGACTACAGATTGGTTACTATGACAGGCCCTCGTGACTATACACATGTTACTGTGACTGACCCTCGTGACTATATACAGGTTACTGTGACTGGCTCTCGTGACTACACACAGGTTACTGTGACTGGTCCTCATGACTACACACAGGTTGCTGTGACTGGTCCTCATGACTACACACAAGTTACTGTGACTGGCCCTCGTGAATATACACAGCTTACTGTGACTGGCCCGCGTGACTATACACAGGTTGCTGTGACTGGCCCTCGTGACTATACACAGGTTACTTTGACTGGCCCTCGTGACTATACACAGGTAACTGGGATCGGCCCGCGTGACTATACACATGTTACTGTGACAAACCCTCGTGACTATACACAGGTTACTGTGACTGGCCCTCGTGATTACACACAGGTTGCTGTGACTGGTCCTCATGACTACACACAAGTTACTGTGACTGGCCCTCGTGAATATACACAGCTTACTGTAACTGGCCCGCGTGACTATACACAGGTTGCTGTGACTGGCCCTCGTGACTATACACAGGTTACTGTAACTGACCATCGTGACTATACACAGGTAACTGGGATTGGCCCGCGTGACTATACACAGGTTACTGTGACTGGCCCTCGTGATTACACACAGGTTGCTGTGACTGGTCCTCATGACTACACACAAGTTACTGTGACTGGTCCTCGTGAATATACACAGGTTACTGTGACTGGCCCGCGTGACTATACACAGGTTGCTGTGACTGACCCTCGTGACTATACACAGGTTACTGTGACTGGCTCGCGTGACTACAGATTGGTTTCTGTGACTGGCCCTCGTGATAATACACAGGTTACCGTGGATGGTCCTCGTGACAATACACAGGTTACTGTGACCGGCCCTTGTGACAATACACAGGATACCGAGTGTTACCCTCATGACTCTACACTGGACACTTTGACTGGTCCCTGTGGTGTCGTAATTGTTTGACGGCGATAGACAGACGTTCTCGGATATTAACGTTTTAGAGGTGCAGCACGTGCAACGCATACCATCTTTGTATAGAAACTATACCAAATTACGAGACTTAAGATAAAACAATTAAAACATGAAGAACAAGTTTTATAAATAAAGTTATATTTTCTAGAACACAAATAAAATGTTTGTGATATAAAATCTAAACCACTAGAATTAAAATACGAACAACAAGTATACAGGAGACATCTGAGTTCATCACTCGAACACGTGAAATGCCAGTTGCACGATTTATATAACAAACATATGCACCGATAAAGTTTTACAACATTAATAAACCACATTGTTTGTTTGTTTTTTTTAATTCTTTCGTTTTCTGTTTGGCAGCGGCATGTGCTGACTACTGACAGGAAATCCTGTACACGTCTATATGTTCAACTGATATTGTTTATGTTGTGTTTCAATCTGTATTTCAATCTGTTAAATGTTAAAATGGCTAAAATGTCAATGACCCCAGCAGTACACAATGACGCAAACCAAATTAACCACGTCGAATCTGCTCATAGAACTGACCAATCAGATGTAGCGGAGAAAAGCATGGACCAATCAGTATCGGCAATGTGCAGTACGGCTGTGATCGTACGAGCTTGCATATGGTTTCAAAACACCTGGTGATTCGGGGGAAAACATATGTATGAAGTGTGGAATGTGGTTATACCATACGTCATATAGTGGTCTGATAAATCCCTCCACTTACCATCACCTCCCCACGGCGGAGGGGTATAAACAGTCCCGCCGAGACCACGTCCCTCCCATTGTCAAAAGGATTGCTTGATCATAATGTCGGGGATTTTCCGCACCACAGCGATCAGTTCTGTGTTGATGACGGCATTTACATTGTTTTGCTTATGTCAAACAGCGCATATTAAGAAAAGTAAGTGGAATTAAAAAGAAATTTTTTTTTTTAAAATAAGACAGATATATATGTTGAACAATAATTATTAACATAAAGCTAACGTGTTTTCTGTAGCCTCCATACAGAATAAAAACGATTTTTACTACCACCGAGTCAACCGCTGAGATTGATTTCAAACTCTACGGTGCTTTATTGTGAAAGAAAATGTCTAACCGGTCTTAATGTTAGTGTGATATGAAGGGTCTTTGGTCTTAGTTACGAAATGGCCATGACCTTTTCAAACAGACAGATAGAAGGGTGATGTTCACCGAAGAAATCAATATAACACATTGTTACCGTACGTTCGCCAATAATTTTTTTTAAAAATCCCAATTCAATAAAAACACCCATGATTTTCTAGAAACGATTTTTTAACTGACTGAGCAATATGTTGTTACTATTCTCTGCGTGAAATTTTTAGTTGAATAAGCAGACATTTGCAGCTTTAATACAAACCTATACAGGACAATAGTATTGTAAGCAGTAAAATAACCTTCTAGTTGTAACAAATTGATAAACTTGATCAACGACAAAGATAATGTTTAACTGTATCACATAAGGTGATGATTGATTCAGTTCCTCTTTCCTTCAGCAGTCAAGCGTTCTGTGAGCTGTGAGCGGTCCGAATTTGCCTGTAATTCTGGCTGTATTCCTAACGGCTGGGCATGTGACGGGGATCCGGACTGTTCCGGGGGTGAAGATGAATTTCCTTCTCTCTGTGGTGAGTACACCAGTCGCTGAGCTAGAAATTGTTTCGAAACCGACTATGGTGACACTTGTATGACCATACGCTGACTGACAGGTTGAATGTGCAGAAGGCGCAGTGGTAACGCACTCGAATTTCACAGTAACACCCCTCGCACGCTTCCATGAGGGCCAACAAAACCGACTAATAGTTGAACAAACTTTTTCCGTCATTGTAAAATAAATGAAGTTTACATATTTATTTATGATATTGACACGTGTATAAACAGACACCGAGAGACAGGTACAATGTATATAGTTAGTAATGACGGAGACACGTGTATAAACAGACACCACCAGACAGGTACAATGTATAGAGTTAGTGATGACGGAGACACGTGTAAATCTTGACACCGAAAGACAGGTACAATGTATATATATATATATAGTTAGTAATGACGGAGACACGACACGTGTATATCTTGACCGAAAGACAAGTACAATGTATACAGTCTGTAATGACGGAGACACATGTATATCTTGACCGAGAGACAGGTACAATGTATACAGTCTGTAATGACGGAGACACATGTATATCTTGACCGAGAGACAGGTACAATGTATACAGTCTGTAATAACGGAGGTACGTGTATATCTTGACCGAGAGACAGGTACAATGTATACAGTCTGTAATGACGGAGACACATGTATATCTTGACCGAGAGACAGGTACAATGTATACAGTCTGTAATGACGGAGGTACGTGTATATCTTGACACCGAGAGACAGGTACAATGTACACAGTCTGTAATGACGGAGACACGTGTATATCTTGACCGAGAGACAGGTACAATGTATACAGTCTGTAATGACGGAGACACGTGTATATCTTGACCGAGAGACAGGTACAATGTATACAGTCTGTAATGACGGAGGTACGTGTATATCTTGACACCGAGAGACAGGTACAATGTATACAGTCTGTAATGACGGAGACACATGTATATCTTGATCGAGAGACAGGTACAATGTATACAGTCTGTAATGACGGAGGTACATGTATATCTTGATCGAGAGACAGGTACAATGTATACAGTCTGTAATGACGGAGGTACGTGTATATCTTGATCGAGAGACAGGTACAATGTATACAGTCTGTAATGACGGAGGTACGTGTATATCTTGATCGAGAGACAGGTACAATGTATACAGTCTGTAATGACGGAGGTACGTGTATATCTTGATCGAGAGACAGGTACAATGTATACAGTCTGTAATGACGGAGGTACGTGTATATCTTGATCGAGAGACAGGTACAATGTATACAGTCTGTAATGACGGAGACACGTGTATATCTTGACCGAGAGACAGGTACAATGTATACAGTCTGTAATGACGGAGGTACGTGTATACGGTGCTCCGACTGAAAGATACCATTTGTATAGTTTGATACAGAGTAACAGGTACTATTCAATCATATAAACACACAAATAACAAAAAATATATCGGAGAGTGGGGAATTAAGTATAGGACAGAGAGATTCACTTCATCATGGTCATGGTAAGGTAAAGCATTACACTATTTGCTTACTTTTTTCACCATTATTTTGTAATCACCCTGATTAATTCAATTAAACACATCAATACCAATTCATATGTCAAGGGTGTGGAAGCGATCCCCCCTGCCCCGCCCTAAATTTTCCCCAACCCAGACATATTTTCCATCTAGTGTTATTTATGTGTTTACATGATTGGATCAGTTTGATTTGAAAAATAAAAATGGCGAAAAAATATCTTGTAAGAAAATAGTGAAATGCTTCACTTAACCATGGTCATGGTGAATTGACCCTGCCCCTCCCCTCTCTCTGCCCATTCCACATTGTCCTATCCTAAATTCTCCCACCCCAAACATTTTCTTGTTATTTATGTGTTTGTATTTATATGAATGAATCACGGTGGTTAGAAAAAAAATAGTGAAAAAAGTAATGAAGTATAAAAATAGTAAAACGCTTCACTTTACCAAGGTCACGGTAAAATGATCCCGCCCCTCCCCCTTGTCCCTCCATCTTGCCCCTCCCACCTTGCCCCATATTTTTGTGTTTAAGTGAATGAATGGGGATACTTACAGAAGAAAATTGTGAGAGAAAGTTCATTAGTAAGAAATTAGGGAAATGCTTTATACTTTACCATGGCCCTACCTCATTCTAAATTTCCCCACCCTTGTTATTTTTTGTTTTATTATGTATGGATTTTCACACGATACCAAACATACGTTGAGTCGGCATCGGGACATGCACAAGTTTCGCTCTAAACAAAATAAACATACAACGGATGTCGCGACATGCACGATCTCCTCTGAATTAACTGCCGCTGTATATTTGACTGTGAAAATCGTAGTTTATGTATAAGAGAAGACGTGCATTTCGTGGCACTTATTGTACGTGTGTCTGCATTGGTTATATGTGATCGCACGTGTTTATCCCTCGAGAACTGTTTCCACAAATGTATCTTTGTTTTTGTATTACAGATAACCGTGTTTGTCCCGACACGTACTTCAAATGTGACGTCAACAAGTGTTTTCCATGCGAGAATGTCAACGATGGCTTTCCTGACTGCTTCGACTCTTTTGATGAGGAAAACAATAACGTCGCATGCACCATGCCCCCTCCTACCACGTGACCTCTATCATGCATTATAAATAATCGTATGGCAGCAGCAATATTTTACAAGTGTTAATGATTCCCACGAGTAAACTTGGTCACAGTAAACGTTATGTGGAATTGTAACCACATCAACATTTCATTGTATTTGCACTTACTCCCGGTGTTTCATACGAAACAGCATCCCCTTAAATGTCTATACACTTTTGCAAGCGATGTTTCAGAGCCCCAATACCACTTTTAAAGAAGTTTTTTTTTTCTTGATCGTTCAGATGGTCATCCATTACATGTATGACATCATCATCTGACCGAAAGTAGGTACCGGAAATGGCATTTTAAAAAATTTTGGAAATAGATGAAAGTCTGATGTTACGAATTCAGACGAATAAGCGGATGCTCAATCAATTCAAAGCCACAATCGTCAATGGCAGCCATGTAAACAGGGGCATTGTCCTAGTGGAACAACACATTTTACCGAGTTCCGCAGTGATTAATAATTCCTCTTAACTGCCTTCGAAGTGTCCCTTATAGATAATCTACCATCAGAATACCATCAGCATCTTAGACACCGAGGTAATAACCTTTCCAGCTGATGGATCAGTCTTTGCCGCCTTTACCAGGTGTGAACCAGGGTCCTTCCATTGTTTAGACTGTTGTTTTGCTACTGGGTGAAATGATGGGCCCACATTTCATCCATAGTCACAAACCTCTGCAGAAAGTGAGCAGGATTTATCTCTAAAAGGTTCAGATCAGCAGGCGACAATGTCCGCCTGGTGTCCTTCTGATCAATTGTCAGAAGTCTTGGTACCCAACGGGCTGAGATCTTTCTCATCGCAAGATCTTCCGTAAGAATGAAACGTACTCTTTCCTACGAAATCCCAACTGTACTGACAATGTATCTCTCTGAAACCCGCCTGTCAGCCATAAAAATATCACGGACTCTATTGAACATTTTTGGGGTTGCTTGCAACAGTGACAGGCCTTCCAGGACGGGCGTTATCTCTGCTCTGCCTGCCATGCTTAATTCAGCCACCCATCTTTCCACTGTAGCATATGAAGGGGCATCGTTCCTTATTGTTGCTACCATATCAGTATGGATGTCCTTTCTTATGCAAATATGAAATCAATCCTCTTTCAGCGATTTGTCCATTTTACAAAAGCCACTTGCCCAGTTTACTTAAGAGTGCTACCTCTTTGATATAAACTGAATAAATGACATCAGTCTTTGGGTAGTCAGGGAATAGCAGAGGGTGGTCGGGTGGTGGGGTGGTGCAGTGGTAACGAACTCGCCCTTCACCTAGCCGTCCGGGGATCGATTCCCGGAATGGATGTGAAAAGGAATGGGGCCACCTGCTGGACCACGTGGGTTTTTCCCGGTACTCCGGTTTCCTCCCACAATAAGACCCCTCGCGCTCTTCCATCCGAGCCAACAAGAGTGATTAATATAAGTTGGAAAAACTTGCTTCGCAATTGTTGTAAAATAAATAGTTTATTATTAATAGAAGAGCTGAAAAAGGACACCCTGCTTTACTTCTTTTACAGTAGTAAGGTAGAGTTATTACACAGAACAGACTTACAGTAGTAAGGTAGAGTTATTACACAGAAGAGACTTACAGTAGTAAGGTAGAGTTATTACACAGAACAGACTTACAGTAGTAAGGTAGAGTTATTACACAGAACAGACTTACAGTAGTAAGGTAGAGTGTTATTACACAGAAGAGACTTACAGTAGTAAGGTAGAGTTATTACACAGAACAGACTTACAGTAGTAAGGTAGAGTTATTACAGAACAGACTTACAAGTAAGGTAGACTTACAGTAGTAAGGTAGAGTTATTACACAGAACAGACTTACAGTAGTAAGGTAGAGTTATTACACAGAACAGACTTACAGTAGTAAGGTAGAGTTATTACACAGAACAGACTTACAGTAGTAAGGTAGAGTTATTACACAGAACAGACTTACAGTAGTAAGGTAGAGTTATTACACAGAACAGACTTACAGTAGTAAGGTAGAGTTATTACACAGAACAGACTTACAGTAGTAAGGTAGAGTTATTACACAGAAGAGACTTACAGTAGTAAGGTAGAGTTATTACACAGAACAGACTTACAGTAGTAAGGTAGAGTTATTACACAGAACAGACTTACAGTAGTAAGGTAGAGGTATTACACAGAACAGACTTACAGTAGTAAGGTAGAGTTATTACACAGAACAGACTTACAGTAGTAAGGTAGAGTTATTACACAGAACAGACTTACAGTAGTAAGGTAGAGTTATTACACAGAACAGACTTACAGTAGTAAGGTAGAGTTATTACACAGAACAGACTTACAGTAGTAAGGTAGAGTTATTACACAGAACAGACTTACAGTAGTAAGGTAGAGTTATTACATGGAAGAGACTTACAGTAGTAAGGTAGAGTTATTACACAGAACAGACTTACAGTAGTAAGGTAGAGTTATTACACAGAAGAGACTTACAGTAGTAAGGTAGAGTTATTACACAGAAGAGACTTACAGTAGTAAGGTAGAGTTATTACACAGAACAGACTTACAGTAGTAAGGTAGAGTTATTACACAGAACAGACTTACAGTAGTAAGGTAGAGTTATTACACAGAACAGACTTACAGTAGTAAGGTAGAGTTATTACACAGAACAGACTTACAGTAGTAAGGTAGAGTTATTACACAGAACAGACTTACAGTAGTAAGGTAGAGTTATTACACAGAACAGACTTACAGTAGTAAGGTAGAGTTATTACACAGAACAGACTTACAGTAGTAAGGTAGAGTTATTACACAGAACAGACTTACAGTAGTAAGGTAGAGTTATTACACAGAACAGACTTACAGTAGTAAGGTAGAGTTATTACACAGAACAGACTTACAGTAGTAAGGTAGAGTTATTACACAGAACAGACTTACAGTAGTAAGGTAGAGTTATTACACAGAACAGACTTACAGTAGTAAGGTAGAGTTATTACACAGAAGAACAGACTTACAGTAGTAAGGTAGAGTTATTACACAGAACAGACTTACAGTAGTAAGGTAGAGTTATTACACAGAACAACTTACAGTAGTAAGGTAGAGTTATTACACAGAACAGACTTACAGTAGTAAGGTAGAGTTATTACACAGAACAGACTTACAGTAGTAAGGTAGAGTTATTACACAGAAGAGACTTACAGTAGTAAGGTAGAGTTATTACACAGAAGAGACTTACAGTAGTAAGGTAGAGTTATTACACAGAAGAGACTTACAGTAGTAAGGTAGAGTTATTACACAGAAGAGACTTACAGTAGTAAGGTAGAGTTATTACACAGAACAGACTTACAGTAGTAAGGTAGAGTTATTACACAGAACAGACTTACAGTAGTAAGGTAGAGTTATTACACAGAACAGACTTACAGTAGTAAGGTAGAGTTATTACACAGCAGAACAGACTTACAGTAGTAAGGTAGAGTTTTTACATAGAAGAACAGACTTACAGTAGTAAGGTAGAGTTATTACACAGAACAGACTTACAGTAGTAAGGTAGAGTTATTACACAGAACAGACTTACAGTAGTAAGGTAGAGTTATTACACAGAACAGACTTACAGTAGTAAGGTAGAGTTATTACACAGAAGAGACATACAGTAGTAAGGTAGAGTTATTACACAGAAGAGACTTACAGTAGTAAGGTAGAGTTATTACACAGAACAGACTTACAGTAGTAAGGTAGAGTTATTACACAGAACAGACTTACAGTACAGTAGTAAGGTAGAGTTATTACACAGAACAGACTTACAGTAGTAAGGTAGAGTTATTACACAGAAGAACAGACTTACAGTAGTAAGGTAGAGTTATTACACAGAAGAACAGACTTACAGTAGTAAGGTAGAGTTATTACACAGAACAGACTTACAGTAGTAAGGTAGAGTTATTACACAGAAGAGACTTACAGTAGTAAGGTAGAGTTATTACACAGAACAGACTTACAGTAGTAAGGTAGAGTTATTACACAGAACAGACTTACAGTAGTAAGGTAGAGTTATTACACAGAACAGACTTACAGTAGTAAGGTAGAGTTATTACACAGAACAGACTTACAGTAGTAAGGTAGAGTTATTACACAGAACAGACTTACAGTAGTAAGGTAGAGTTATTACACAGAACAGACTTACAGTAGTAAGGTAGAGTTATTACACAGAACAGACTTACAGTAGTAAGGTAGAGTTATTACACAGAACAGACTTACAGTAGTAAGGTAGAGTTATTACACAGAACAGACTTACAGTAGTAAGGTAGAGTTATTACACAGAACAGACTTACAGTAGTAAGGTAGAGTTATTACACAGAACAGACTTACAGTAGTAAGGTAGAGTTATTACACAGAACAGACTTACAGTAGTAAGGTAGAGTTATTACACAGAACAGACTTACAGTAGTAAGGTAGAGTTATTACACAGAACAGACTTACAGTAGTAAGGTAGAGTTATTACATGGAAGAACAGACTTACAGTAGTAAGGTAGAGTTATTACACAGAACAGACTTACAGTAGTAAGGTAGAGTTATTACACAGAAGAACAGACTTACAGTAGTAAGGTAGAGTTATAGTTAGGTTTATTACACAGAACAGACTTACAGTAGTAAGGTAGAGTTATTACACAGAACAGACTTACAGTAGTAGAGTTATTACACAGAACAGACTTACAGTAGTAAGGTAGAGTTATTACACAGAACAGACTTACAGTAGTAAGGTAGAGTTATTACACAGAACAGACTTACAGTAGTAAGGTAGAGTTATTACACAGAACAGACTTACAGTAGTAAGGTAGAGTTATTACACAGAACAGACTTACAGTAGTAAGGTAGAGTTATTACACAGAAGAGACTTACAGTAGTAAGGTAGAGTTATTACACAGAAGAGACTTACAGTAGTAAGGTAGAGTTATTACACAGAACAGACTTACAGTAGTAAGGTAGAGTTATTACACAGAACAGACTTACAGTTACAGTAGTAGGTAGAGTTATTACACAGAACAGACTTACAGTAGTAAGGTAGAGTTATTACAC